GAGGCATACCTAGGGCTCCTTGCTACATGAGACATATAAGCCTTTCAGTTGTTCATGCCTCTTTTCTCATATTTTCTGCCATATGCTTCCGAACACAATCCCTATACAATTGTTTTCATTTCTCTCTTTCTAAAAGCAAATGATAAAAATTATGTACCAATGAAGCAAATGATAAAAATTATGTACCAGTAGATGAATCAAATAAAAGAAGATACAATAAAAAAATCAACTGAGTGATAACAAAGGGTTTGTGCACCTTGGCTGTTGGTAGCAGAGGGAGAGGCCATGTCACTATACCCTAAGCAAACGTTTAGCAACCAATTTAATTGGTTGGATGATCTGGAAGTAATGCTAAGCATCTTACAGCCTAACATATATAGTTTTAAAAAACTGTGTGTGTGTGTGTGTGTGTGTGTGGTGTGTGTACATTTTCCTGAGTTTTACTAAAATTTCAGGAAATTGGTTGAGGGTTTTGAGCTAATGTGTGTATAATTTTTCCCATTTAATGTAATGGGAATAGGTTTCCTTTTGGCATTTTCATAAAGAATATCTGTTTTTTAGACCCAATTACTGATACTAAGTGGGATATGCCAGGATTGGGAGGGGACCCTGCTGCCCTGAAGCCAATTCCTATCTCCATGGGCTCTCTGGTCCCCAGTTCCAGTTTCACCCTTTCTCTCCCCCAGGGCCCTGGATTTGCCCACCTGCTGACCCTTGCAGGGGCTCTCTAGACCCTGACCTCATCTGGCACAACCACTGGACCCCTTGCTCCTACAGCTGAGCTGGGCCTTCCCTCTTTTAGGATCTCCCCCTTCTGGTCCCCAGAACCCCCAATCTTGGGAGAGTAGCTAATTTCCAGATTCCCAGCTGGAGCCCACAACTGCCTGACCAGTTCTTAATCCTCCCTTCTAATGGATGATCCCCAGAATGGGGGGCTGGGAACAAATTAGCAAGAAATGCAAAACTGCAATAAAAGTTTTTTAAAAATCTAAGTTAAAAAGCAGGTTATAAACAGTTTTATACTGTACTAGTCAGGAAGCTTTTGGCTGTATGTAACTCAAAATGGTAGAAACATTAATGAAATCTTATTATCTCACTCAAGAAGTTGACAAGTAGAGTATTTCCCGAGTTGGCTGATTCAGCAGCATGATGACATCATCAACAACTCAAGTCCCTTCCATAGTCCTGCTCTGCCATCTCCAGGTCATTGGCTCATCCTCTTAGTCTCATTCCCCTCATGGTCCCAAGATGACAGCCATTGCTCCAGGAGAGGCACTCTGCTGTCAATGTGTAGAGGCAGAAAAGACCTTATGCATGTCCTTCTCTGAGACTGAGGAAAACTCTCCCAGAACCTCCATCAAATTTCCCCTCATTGCTCATGGCAAGAACTGGGCCATGTGCCCCATTCTTAAGCCAGTCAGTGGCAAGGGGAATGGGAGCATCACCAAGAGTTGAACCCAGTAGATCTCAGCCCCCGCTGCATGTTAGCAATACCTGCAAAGTCTTGATGCCTGAGCTCACAACAGACCAGTCGTGAGCAGTATCTCTAGGGGTGGGACCTGGGGCTTAGTATATGTTTTTGATTCCCTAGGTATTTAAAAAAATATTTAATTTATTTGTTTGTTTATTCATTCATTTGGTTGCACCAGGTCCCAGTTGTGGCAGGCGGGCTCCCTAGCTGCAGCTCGCGGGCTCCCTAGTTGCGGCTCACCGGCTCCTAATTGTGGCATGCGAACTCTTAGCTGCAGCATGTATGTGGGATCTAGTTCCCTCACCAGGGATCGAACTCGGGGTCCCTGCATTGGGAGCATGGAATCTTAACCGCTGCGCCACCAGGGAGTCCCCCCTAAGTATTTTTGATGGGCAGCAGGGGTCAGAACCACTATTTTACACTAATCATAGTTCATCTTCTGGGGCTAGGGAAGGGGCTATTTTCCCTGAAGTATCTGGTCACTAGACACCTGAAGAATATTAAGGTTCTTAGCACAGAAAATGATGGAAAGTGTTTGTTGTGTAGGCAAATGATAGTGTTTGACATATATGGTGTGCTCTTGTTTTAGGTTAAAAATTATGTAAATATATAATATAACACATATGCCAAGAAAAAATTGTGGAAGACCATGAATCAAACTTTTAATAGTTACTATCGTGGTGTGGTGAGGCGGAGAATTAGTTATAGCTGATTTCCACTCATTAATTGAAATTTTACTATGAACATTAATCACATAATCAGAAAAACAATGAAGATACATGCATTTTGAGAAAAAAGATTTTTTTTTTTTAAAGAATAAAAGCAGTTGTAAGGGATGAAATGCTGCTTTATCCCTGTGGGGTAACCTCTGTGGGGCAAGCCCAGTTCCTTGTCCAGGAACTCACTGCTATGAGCTTAGAATTTATTACTGACCCAGCAAGAGTTTCCTCTCTTTCCCACCTGACCAGGAGAAAGGTAAACTCTCATCTGGACAGTCCCATTTTCCTCACCAGTGATTGGGTTAAGCCAGGACATGTGATGCAATTGTGGCCAATAAGATGTCAAGAGGCATCTGCTGGGGGTGTGGTGTGTGTTTCTGGGAAATGTTTCTTTACTTTTCAAAGAGACTCAGGAGAAGAGGGTCTCCTCTTCCCCAAGACATATTCTTGACTATGTGTGATGCCTGGATATTGCAGCCGTTATTTTATGATTATATGGGGAAAATGTCCACATGCTGAGGATGACAGTGAAAATCCTTGGTAACATGTTTTTAAACCTAAGGCATAATTTCCATACAATAAAGTATGAAAATCTTAAGTGTACAGCATGGCTAAATTTTATGTATGTACACACTCATGTAAGCACTACCAGATCAAGATACAGAACATTTCCAGCACTCCAGAGGGCTCGCTCCTGCCCCTTCCCAGTCAATAGCCAATACCCACTCTTCTGATTCCTATCTCCATAAATTACTTAACTGCCCTTGAACTTCACATGAATGGATTCATACAGTACATACTGTTCTGTGTTGGGCTTCTTTGTTCAACATGTTTTCTTTGAGATTCATTCATGTTTTTATGTATATAAAAAGTTTATCAAACCAATGTATAGTGTTCCATTGGTACCACAATTTATCCATTTCCTGCTGATAGACATTTGAGTTATTTCCAGTTTTTGGCTGTTATAAAAAGAAAAGATACTATGAACATTCTATGCATCTATCTTTGGGTGGATATATGTCCTCATTTCTCTTGTGCATATACCTAGTAGTGAAATCACTGACATAGGGTGAATAGCTATTTATTTAGCTTTAGTTAGATACTGCCAAACAGTTTACCAAAGTGGTTTAACCAATTTACACTCCCACCAGAAGTGTGATATATATATATTTTAGAAGTGTGATATTTTTGATTGTTCTATATTCTCACCAACACGGTATTGTCAGCCTTTAATTCTGGTGGGTTAGTAGTGGTATCTGATTGTAGCTTTAGTTTGCATTTCTCTGATGACCTTTTCAAGTGCTTTTTGGTCATTTCCTCTTCTAAGAGGTGCCTGTTTAAGTCTTTTTCCCTTTCTTAAAAGTGGGTTGTTTTGTCTTCTGTTATTGATTTGTAGGAGTTTGTTTACGTTTTGGATATAAGTCCTTGGTCAGATATACGAAATGCAAGTATCTCCTCTCAGTCTGTAGATTATTTCTTCACTTGCTTAATAATGTGTTCTGATGAGCATATTATATTTAATGAAGTTCAAATTATCAATGTGTTCAGCATGGTGTTTTTTGTGCTCTGTTTCGGAGATATTTGCTTACCCTCAAGATCATGGGGATATTTTCCTATCTTTTCCTTTACAAGCCTGATTCTTTTTTTTTGCGGTACGCGGGCCTCTCACTGTTGTGGCCTCTCCTGTTGTGGAGCACAGGCTCCGGACGTGCAGGCTCAGCGGCCATGGCTCACGGGCCCAGCCGCTCTGCGGCATGTGGGATCTTCCAGGACCAGGGCACAAACCCGGGTCCCCTGCATCGGCAGGCGGACTCTCAACCACTGCGCCACCAGGGAAGCCCAAGCCTGATTCTTTTTAACATTTACATTTAGGTCTGTCATCCATACCACATTAATTAAGTTTTTTAAATAAATTCATTTATTTATTTATTTTATTTATCTTTGACTTCGTTGGGTCTTCGTTGTTGCGCGCGAGCTTTCCCTAATTGCGGCAAGCGGGGGCTACTCTTCATTTCAGTGTGTGGGCTTCTCACTGCAGTGGCCTCTCATTGCGGAGCAGGGGCTCCAGGCGCACAGGCCTCAGTAGTTGTGCCATGCAGGCTCAGTAGCTGTGGCTCCCGGGCTTAGTTGCTCCACGGCATGTGGGATCTTCCCAGACCAGGGCTTGAACCCGCATCTCCTGCACTGGCAAGTGGGTTCCCAACCACTGCACCACCAGGGAAGCCCCAACACATTAATTTTTATGTATAGTGTTGGGTAAATATTTTTTCCCATACAGATTATTTTCTGTATGGATATCCAGTTTTTCCAGCACCACTGAATTGCAGTGGCACCCTTGTTGTAAATCAAGTGAACATACATGTTTCAGTTCATTTCTGGATTCCCAATTCTGTTCCATTGGTCTATTTGTCTATCCTTGTATCAATACCACCCTGGCTTAATTACTATAGCTTGATGTTAAGCATTGATATCTGGTGGTGTTATGTTCTTCGTCAAGATTGTCTAGGCTGCTCTAGGTCCATTGTATTTCCATATAAATTTTAGAATTGATTTGAAAATTTCAGTACATAAACTTAGGAATTTGATTGTGATTGTATTAAATCTATAAGTCAATGTAAGGAGGATTGACTTAGCAATATCGTCTTCCAATCCATTTACTTAGATCTTCTTGATGGCTTGGTTGAACGTCTGATTTTATTTAATCAACCGTGGAGCTACCTTACATTTGTCTTATTATTATAAACAAGATTATATAAATGTATTACATATTTTCCTTACTGCTTAAGGCATTTTTTTCTGGTTACTTGCAGCTAAAAACATCTCAACTGATATAACAAACTTGCCCTGTAGGGTGATGGATTAAGCAGAAGGCTTGAATCTATGCTACTCCCTGTGTGGCCACGGTAAGTCACCCAACTTCTCTGGGCCTATTTCCTTATCCATGGAAACCCCATAGGGTTGGAAAGTTCTTCTCTTTTTCATAAACCAGTGAACACTGACTCATCTTTTTTGTCTCAATTGAAGTATCATTTTCTTTGGGACGTCTCCTCTGATTCTTCCAGTAAAACCTAGATATTCTTTTTCTATTCATGCCTTTGAAAGCAATCAGTACACTGTAATGTCATTGTTTGCATGCTTGTCTCCATCAGTGCCTTATTAATCAGGGAACAGAGGGTGCACTTAAAGGGCTTAATTGAAGAGAGTTTAATGAAGAGACAATTACAGAGGAATAGACAGGATTAAGGGATGATGAGGTGCCCCAGGGACTAGCCATGGAGGCAAGCCATTACCATTCTTGGGTCTGAAGGATAGAGGTGAAGGAAGTGTTACTGGAACACAGTGAGACCAGTAGCTGTGGAGGAGAGGCTGTCCAACATATACTATGGGCTATAGGGGAACATAGCCATAGGGAGAACCATGGGCAGGTAGGGAGGGGAGAATAAACACCCTACCCTTTTTCTTACCCTCTGATTTCCTTCAGCTCCCATTGGATCAACCCAACCAGAAGACAGATGGCAAAGGATTCCAGGTGATACAGTCTGTAGAGGTCAGCCTCCTGGGGAACAAGGTAGGTCAGCAAGAGGCAGCAAATGGACATAGGGGAAGAAATAGGTAATGGTCAGTATGCTCACCTTCAGTGCAAGCTTCTTGAGAATGGACACTAAGTCTTTGAAAAACAATGTTGCCATAGTTTTTTACACACCCGTTACAAAAATTTAAATGTTATAGAAAATAAAAGACCCTCTGTTATCCCCAGAAATAATGATAGCTATTTGTTATACATCACTTCAGGTTTTACATACATGTACACCGAATATGTGGGTCTGTGGAAGACTGTATTTCCAAAAATGACCACAGCAATATTTCTGGTCTTCTATGGTCTTTCTGATATTGGCACTCCCCATCACTAGGTAAATCTATATCCTCTCCCTTTGAACGTGGGGAGGGCCTTGTGACTGCCTTGACAGATGGGATGTGGCAGAAGTGATGCTGCATGGCTTCCAAGGCCAGGTCATAAAAGGCAAAATGGATTCTCCTGGAAATCTCTTTCTTTTGGGGTGCTTACCATGGGAACCCAGCCACCACATTGTGAGGAACCCCAGGGCACATGAAGAGCCACATACAAGTGTTCTGGCTGGTTGCCAGCTGAGGTCCCAGCTGACAGTCAGCATTAATTGCTGGATGGGGGAAAGAATGAGCCTCCAGATGATCCCAGCTTCCGGTCTTCGAGCCACCTCAGCTGATGCTGCATGGAGCCGAGGCACGTATCCCCCCAAGCCCTGCCCAAATGGAGGGTTCATGAGCACAATAAATGTTGTGTTTGTTTTTTGAGCCACTGAGATTTTGAGTGCTTTGTTACATAGTCATAATAACTAAAACAGGCAGTATTAAAGGGCTATGATCTCAGGCTGTGGAACCAGACTTCTTGGTTTCAATGTGATCTCTGTCACTTATTCCCTGTGTAATATTTGGCAAGTTGCTCAAATTCAAATCCTCAATTTCTTCATCTGTAAAATGGGAATAAGATTAAAAATCTCACAGAGTAGGATTGGTCTATGAAACAATCAGCTTGGTTCTCAGCACATATTAAATTATTATAATTATTGATCACTGATTCCCTCAAAGACCACCAGAAAAAACCTGATGATCAAACAAAATGAAATATATTAAATTTACTGCAGAAAGGGAGAATAACACCTTGAAAAAGTCTTAGTAGTACCTCCAAGTAAAGACATTAAGGAAGGATACTTACAGGGTTTTAAAGGCTGCACTGGATGGTTTTAAGATGGGTCACATAAGGCAGGTAGCTGGTTGGAATTGGGCAGAATTTATAAGAACTTTGGATTAGTGAACGCAGAGGGGCAAGGGCATTGAAGTGAGTCTAGATGAGCAAGTTTTCTGTTTTGATAAGTAAGGTGTTTAGTTTTTATCTGTCTTATCTTCAAAGAGTGGGTACTTCCTGGAGCAAACCCCTAAACTATTACTTGGTCCCAGTATTCTTTAACACAGGAACAGAAAAGTGTGTTGTTTTCAGTTCTCATTAATATAAATTTCTTTTCATGGAAAAGGGCTCATAGCCTACCCCACCTATTATATTGAAACTTTCATTTTCATTGAACAACATACCTTGGATAGCTTTCCTTATGAGAACATATCAATTAATTTAATTCTGCTTAACATCTGCTTGATATTCACTGGTATAGCTGCAACATGACTTGTCTGCCCTTTCACATATCAACAGACACCTGGTGTGTATATGTAGTGAGGTGGGGGGCCCAGACCCTCAGCACAGTGTCTGGCACAGAGTAAGCACTCAGAGAGGGTTTGCTATTGAAAGGAGAGTGTACCTGAAGTCTGTAAAATGCCATATACATGTAAGGTAAGGATGGATGGTTGGGCTTCCTTATTACCGCATCTTATCCCATCCCACTTTTGTCATCTATGTTAGGAATCACCTCAGGATGCACGTGGCATGAAAGAGGTCCAGAAGCCCTTATGTGCTCACGGTGAGGAAAAGAGATTGCTGAGATGCAGGAAAAACAGTGAGTGTGAGGGGCGGTAGGGTGGCCAGCCAAGGCGGGGCTGGATGGAGGATGCAGCTGAGATTCAGAGGTGCTCAGGTGCCCAGGAGAGAGCTGGTGGCGTTGAGTCAATGCCAGTGAGAACGGATCACGAGTTTCAGTGGCTGCGGACTTTAGCAACTTGTGCCATCAGGCCCCCACTGAGCAGGCAGGGCAAGGGGTACCTCATGAAACCAGCAAGGACTCAAAAAAAACCAGGAGGGCCACCTTTCCCTATTGCCACGAGGACATTTCCCCTACATCCAGATATCGTCTTCAGGAGAAGGAAGCCGAAGAGGAAACATTTGAAGAAGAAGTGGCAGCCCCAGAGGGGTTTTAAATTGAAAATCAGACACAACATTTATGAAAATGAAGCTGATACAAAATGAAAATATAGGTTTTCCACTAGGGGTGGTAGCACACCAATTGGAGACCTTCAGAAATAGGTGGGGCATTTCCCCCACTTTTTTATCATGAAAACTTTCAAACGGCAATGTAAAAAAAAAAATTGAACAAATACACATACATCATCACTTAGATCTTTCAATTGTCATGGGGAATTTTTTGGCCATAATTGTTTTATCTATTTTTTCTGAAGTAGTTTAAAGTAAATTACACACAGTCTGACATTTCACCGCAAATGCATCTCTGAAAAATAAGAACATTTTTCTACATAATGCGGGGGTGTTCTTTGTTGGCAGTGGGGAGTGCCCCTGGCAGGTGCATAGGCGAGGGGCAATGCAGGGCTTACTTCAGCTCAGGGAAGAATCGTCTGGCCCAAACTCTGACAGCATCATCTTGTGGAAAGCCTGCTCCATAGAAAGACACAATTGTGTGGGACTGTGTGTGGGGTGTGTGTCAGAGGGTGCTATCCTATATTTATTCATTTAATATATATGTCTTTATTATAAAAGTCACACATAAACTGATAAGATGTGGGGACATACATGTAAAAACATTATAAAGAAGCAGCAGGAAAAAAATCACCTATAATCCACCCTCCAGGATCAACCACTGTGAACACTTTGCCTCATTTCCTTCTAGTCTCTATCTTTTTACATAGTTGAGATTATACCATGTGTGTACATATTCAGTTTCTATTTTAGAAAGCCATACTTTGAATTGGTTATTTAAAGTCTTCTGACTCCTGTCCACTTACCACACCCTAGTAGGGTGAGGACCTGGAGAGTCAGAGATCTGTTTCTGAAATGAACAATATGCCACATTTTAAAAAATGAGCCTAATTGGTGGCTTGTTAATTTACTCCACCCTACTTACTCTTGACCTCAGTTAATCCACAGGATGGTTTTATAATGTAGAGCTTATCGTGCCCATTTTCCAGATGAGACACCCAAGGCTGAGGGAGTGCAGGAAGCCACGCAGAGGTTCCACAGACTATGGGCTTCTCCACTCTTACTTATAGCCCCAAATACAACGATCAGCTCCCTGACCAGCTCCGGGGAAGGCACAGCAGGAATACTGGCGATGCAGAGCAGGCACTTCACAGGAGATCTTGGGAGATGGGAGACTCACAGACTCTCTTCTGTGGAATCCTAAACAAGTAGGATTTATCCAGTTGCACGGGGGTGCGGGTGTCTCTCTTTCCCACTTGGATCATCTGCCCCTCGGTTGGGGCATGGTTTAGGGAAGAAGAGTTTATGTCTATGTCTGTGTATGTGTACCTGGGGCCAGTACTTGGAGTGAAAACACGAACTATCTGTAGTCGGTTAAAGATGGCTGCAAATTCTTTGACATTCTTTCTATTCAAGAGGAGAGATCTATGTGCCTCTCCTTGACCCTGGGCAGGTTCAGTGACTGCTTGACGAACAGAAGTGAAATTGTGCCTGTTTGTGGGCCAAGACCTTAAGAGACTGGAAGCTCCATATTCTGTCTTTTGCACTTGCTCTTAGAATGCAGCTGCCATGCTGTGAGGAAGCCCAAGCAGCCCTGTGGAGAGGTCCATGTAGAGATAATGTAGGCCACTGGTCTACAGCCCCAGATGAACTCCTAGCCATCAGTTAGCACCAACCTGCTACCCATGGGAGTGGGCCATCTTGGAAGTGAATCCTCCAGCTCTACTCTAACTGCCCCAGCTCGTGCTTCATGGAGCAGAGATAAGCCAACTCTGCTAATCCCTGCCCAAGTCACAGATTTGTGAGCAAAGTAATTGACTATTGATATTTTAAGTCACTACATTTTGGAGTGGTTTATTACGCAGGATTAGATAACAAGAATACCACTGTTTTCTGAGCTGATCTAATAAGCCGAATTATATGTGGAACTTTTCACACATGCTGTGTCCTTTAGTCCTCATATTTCCCTCTAAGGTAAGAAAAACAATAGCTAACATTTACTGAGTGCTTGCTATATGCCTACTGCAGTTCAAAATCCTTTTCCAATTCACTTAATTTAATTGTTCCAGTAACCCTGTTTCATAGGTACTCTTATCCTCCTTTTACAGATATGGAAAACAGGCACAGAAATTGGAGAACTTGCCCCAAACCATGCAGGAGGAGGCAGAACCAAAGACACAGTTGTCTGATTTGAAAGGCAGCAATCCTAACCACTCTAATTTTCTGCCTCTCAGACAGAGGGCTGATGAGAGCACTGAGTCTCAGAGAGGTGAAGTGACTTCCCCAAGGTTGCACAGCTAATGGGTGACTTTAGACCACTTATCCTCTGGGTTCCTCCATTGAAGCTGCCATGGCCCTGACAGCACTGCCTGCCTTTTGGGCTTATTTCTGTGTGAGCCATGGCTGGCTCTCAATCTGCAGCGGTATTGCCTAGCTTGATCTGCTTCCTTACTCTGCAGCTGTGGTACCCAGTGACCTTTGGCTGTTCCCACACATTCAATTCCATCCTCAAAGCACAGGATTTTTCAAATCAAGAAAGTTCTTTAGAAGAATGTGCCTCAGGCTCAGAAGGACTTTCCAGCAGAAATTTCCAACATTCCAAGGATAGTTTGTGCTTTGAGCACTGCCTGGCTGCAGACCTCTCGCCCTTCCTGCTGGTCTCTGCCCTCTCCTACACCTTCCTCTGTCTGCTTTGCAAATGAGGGGTAGGAGTGAGCCAGGCAGGATGTCAGGGATAAGAGAAAGTGAACATGAGCTCTACTGTCACACAGACCTGTGACCTAGGGCAACTGTTAAACCTCTCTGAACCCCTGCTTACTTAGCTGTAAAATGGGATTTTGAATAACCTCTTCCTCGTAGGGTTGTTGTGAGGATTAAGTGAGGCAGTATATGTGTTTCCCAGAGCTCCTTTCAGTGTAGGCCTTGTTGCCTGTAGCTGCACAATTGACTGTAGCTCCCACACTTAAGAGAGAATATCTAGAGGCTGCTGCAGGACCCCGTGTGGCCGTCCCTGGAGCCCACGTGTCTGTCCACCAGTGCGGAGGAGCACAATGTGCCTTCTGCTTCTCTTCTGCTTCCCAGATCTGATGTGAGTGCCTTTCATTGGCAGATCCCACGTGCAAACCTGTTGGCAAGGGATTCCTGGGAATGTCCCCTCCATGCTTCTAGTCCCTGCTATGGGGGAGAGTGTAGACGGGGAGGAATGGTGCTGAGTTGCCAACAAGAAATCTAGCATATTTTCATTTCTAAAGAACCAATGGGCAAGGGCAATGCTTAACCCAGATGGGGACCAACAGTCCTCATCAGATGAAGGTGCGAGAGGCATTGCTGATGTGTGGAAGAGAGTGAGAAGCAGAGAAAGCCACGAAGGTTGGTCTCTGGGTCTCAGGCTCTTTGGAACTGCGTTTGAACATGTGACCTGGCTCAGCCAATAAGATGTGTCCTATGCTTCAAATCAGGGGCTGGGAAAACAGAGATGAGGGAGGGGTGGAGAACTTGTGGCAGAGGCAGCAATGACTACAGTACCGCATTTCCGGGGAGCAGTGGTACATTCCAAGCCTGCAGTGTGTCCAGTGAGCAGCTCTGGTGGGGCAGTGGTGTGCAGGACCGGGACCCGGAACCACACGGAAGCAGTGTTCTCATTAGACTCGCTCTGTGGCACAGTTCAGGCTGTGTTTTTGGTTGCAGAGTTTCCAAGCCTAGTTCTCTAGGCTTTCCCTTCCCAGTGATTCACTGGGTTAACTAATATCTTTTCAGTGAGCTCATTTTGTGCTTAAATTAGTCAAGGTTGGTTCTGTTGCTTGCCACCAAGTAACTGACTATAGTGAACTCAGAAGGCCATTGTGAAGATTAAATGTAAAGAACTTAGCACAGGTCCTGGTACATCACAAGCACCCAATATTAGTCAGGTTCTGCTGCAGATAACCAGACCAGGTTAAACTGAAAGAGACTTGATACAGGGGATTAGGTGCTTGCAGGATTGTTGGATGTGCTGGACAAGCAGGTTCTAGATAGAACTTCCAGGAATGTCTCCCAGAATATATCAACAAGATTGGTGTACCAAGGGAGCTTCTAAATCCTCTATGGTTGGGAGGATGGAGCTTCAGGAAGTCCCTGTCCCAATTGCTGGCTCCAGGACCACGTTCCCTCAGCTGAGAGGCACAGATCAGGAAACTGTGCTACTACTGTTGGTTCCAGGACCACGCTGCCTCTGCCTTGATTGATGGCAAGAGAACGCATGTCCATAACCTTCCTCTCAGTAATACAGTGCAAGGCACCCATCACGCTGGACCTCTGCTATCACTGCTGCAGGAAAAAACAAATGCTCCCAGCACATGCTTACCAGTGCAGAGAGTGGAAATACATTCTCCGCCTCACTTCTGGCTTCCAAACAGTGCATCCATTTTGAAATATAGGTGTCTCAAGGACCCAATCTGTAGACCTGAGTTTGCCAACTTTGGACCTGCAGTAAAGCATGCACAAATGGAGCTGAGTGAGCCAACCCATGATGTCAGAAACACACCCTAAATATAGGGATCACTTCCTGCTTAGTGCATTGCTTGCACTTCCCTACTCTCGCTTTTGGTGCCCTGCTTTGCTGGTACCCTAAGCACATGCTCAGTCTGCCCC